CTATCTGTTTGCTGAGTTTATTTGCTTTAGAGTTGGAATGACGCCTTTAGAGAAGATGGGCGTTTATTGGCAGTTGGTCAGATTTACGATGAACTAAAGGCCAAGGGCGTTGAATTCCCAGCAGCTGGGCTTGATTCTGCTTCACCCATAATTACTCCAAAACAAGTAAGGCTATTTTTTCAGTGCATTAAGATAATTTTTGTTGATGGGTAAGTTCATTTAAAAACCAATTTTTTTATTAAAATAGTGCGGTTATTAGAGACCGCAAATCCTCTTGCTTGTTTTATCATTGTGCTTGTGACACCTCTTTCGTTGTGACCAGAGTATTGTGTTTCTTGCACCTTCTTGAATGAATGCAGTCTCAGATCGGCTTTCCTAATACTTATTTTCAATCAGTATTCAAGCCATCTAAGTTGGCTGGTTCTGTTGGTTGTTAGGTGTTGTGTTGTTGATGCTTGTTCTGTTCAGACCGTTTTTTCATCTACAGCGTGTTCCCAGCGGCCTAATTCAATTGGTGATCAGCCTCCAGTAAGTGCTACTATGCTTAGTGCTGTGTGCTTGCAGTTTCTCATCTTGACTTTTTAACCAGAGCATTGAGTATTTCGAAAGGACCCTTGCTTTACAAACGTTATCTTTACAGTCTGTTTCAAAAAATTCTTTTCTTATAGAAGATCTGTTTATTGCTGGTTCTTACTGCTAATCGTTTTGCAGAACACAGAAGTTTTAAAAATTATTGAACCTTTACAACCGATTGATCCAACTCCTCAGCAACTAGAGAAGCTCCGAAAAGAATTAGATGTCGTCATCAGCAACTTGAAAGTTTGTAATTGCCCGTACTTTTTGCTCTCCAGTAATTACGAGGAAAATAGTAGTTTGGCATTTTTGATTTAAGAGAGTTTAGTTCATATTTTTAACCATTGTCACCTCCATGAGCTTTTCTGTTCAGGTTTTTCGGGAGATGTTGTCAGAGTTAACGCCAGGAAAAGAAGACCCAGATGATGTCCAGTTGCTCACAGAGCTTCATAGCGTTTGCAAAGAAATGCAGACTAGAATTTTGGATTTGATACGTACTATAGTGAACGATGAGGTCACATGTGAGTCTTTGTCCCTGCACTAGTAGTACAGTTAATTCTTACTGCTTGAAAAAAGGTTTGTTTAGATGAACTTCTGGTCATTAATGACGAGCTCAATAATGTTTTTGAGAAGTACGATCGCTATATGACAAATCGTTCCACAGATGAGAGAAATTTACAAAATGTTGTTCCTGATACAGAAGCTCGTTCACTCAGTGAACAGCTTGGTGCGTTACAGGTTCACGACGCAAAAAAAAGTCCTGAAAGGTAAAAAGATTTTTATAGAGCTTTTATGCACTGTTAGTGGCTTCACATTTTCAATTCAGAAACAACGTTTATCCATAAAATTTGTTGATGGCGATATGGAAGGGCAATATTTTAGTCTTTGCAGTTTTTTCCTAGTTCTCATCATTGTGGGAGGTTGGAACAAAAACTTTAAGAAGCTTCTTTGAAAGTTATATTCCGTGTTTTTATTAACTTTTTTGTTTACTGTAGTTAGAACTGCAAAGGAGTACTAAACTTAGAAGTCACTTACTTTCGATGTATGAGAATTTCAGTTCCAAATGTAAAATACGTTACATTCGTTGAGTATAACAGTTCGCCGAAGGGGTAAAATGGACTAAGTAAACTTTTCAAAATTTTTACCAGTAGGTGAGAGTCAGAGTAACATAGGTAGTAAATTTGTGGTTGTTTTGCTCAGAAATTATGCTTTAAGGGACAGCCGCTGGCTTAGTTAGATGGCTACAGAGCTCTTAGTTAGTGATGGCTTTGTTTGGGAAATTATGTCGCACTCTTCTAGTTTATGTTATTATGGAGATTTAATAGCGTACTGAGTAAATCTTTGGGCTATAAAGATTGCACGTCAGAAGAATGTGACTTTAATCGCTGTCGACTGTAGGATTTGAACGCCAAAATGATTTAAGGATTTAATGAAGCAGTCGTTTGAAATTCTTCATGCATTGGTGACTTTTAGCGAACAGTTTTTGTTGTAAATAATGTAGTTTTAGTGTTTGCCTGAAAGAAGGGATCATGTGTTTCTTGATGGAAACTTTGAGGATTTCTGAAGACAGGTCCTAACTGGTGCTTTGACTCTGCGAGGGCATTTTTCCAAACAGAAAAGAACGAGTAATTTTTTAAGACGAGACAATTGTTTTTGACATAGAATTAAAAGAGTTACTCTGTAGCAAGCTTTCTGTGAATTTCAAAATCAGCGAGAGAACCAAAGTTACCACTTTGTTGGTTGTTAGGCTTAAGAAGTTACTCTTTCAGAGGAGCCTCAATCAACGCATTTTGTTACGTTTGATATAACACAGATTTCTTGATCTGTTTTGTAAGGCTTTAGGTGAAGTTTCACTGGTACAGTTACTTGTTTCGTAGATCTTCCAAGCAGCCGAAGTCTAACATTATAACAGGACTTTTGGTCTTTGAGATATTGTAGTACGTATGTAGCAAGAATAAATATTTTTGATAGTTAGTATGATTTTCAGCAGGATTGGAGAAGATTTTTACCTTAACTTTTTGCAGATCATAAAATTTTTTTTTCATTTAATGATTTCCAGTTCTTGATATTTTTTAGCTTGCCTGTCATTTTGCTCTCTACTTTTTTAATGTGTTAAAAGCTTAACTTTAATAAGTTAAACGCAAGATAAGTTTATTACAATTTGTTCAGGTTGGAGAATAGTCACTCTCAAAGTTCAAGTCAGGTGGGGCAAGTGGAGACGAGTACAGGAACTCCTGTTGAAAAAGCTGCTCCAATTAGCGAGAGGGAGGCACAGGAAGTGTCTCAGTGGCTAAAAGCCCAGGAAAAACCCGACTCTTCTCACTCTTTTGGAAAGGATTTAATAGGTCAGGGTTTATGACTATTTTTTTGTAACTTTGTTTACGCGGGGGTTTCACAACTCTTCTTCCTTTTGACGTACTTTAGCACCCGTCTACTTTTTAAATCTTTCAGTGAGCTCATATCATTAAAACGATTGCTAGTTTTGAACCCACTGCTAATGATTGTGCTGTTTTCGTTCACTACCCCTCGAGTTTACATGTACTTTTGGAATTCAAGTTTTTTAGAATTTTTAGAAGCCTTTGATCGTTCACAGCAATCTATGAAAAGTGGTGAAGCATAAGCTTATTGATTTCGCTCTTTTTTCAGCATTCGCTAAGTAGTCACTTAGTTGGGAAGCTGAGTAGTTTCAGATACTGGTATTTATCGGTGGATTTCAGAAATGTTTTTCAGATATGGGCGATACTACAGAAGAGACGACAGCTAAGAAAAAAGAGTAGGAGTTGCGTCTTGATATGGCCGTGAGCGGCTTTTTTAATTATCTGTGATAATACCTTGGTGTTTGCTTGTCTTTTTTCTCTCGCTAATGCCACTTCTTTTAACATTGATATTTTGTATATAATTATTTTTTAATATTATTAAAGTTACTTTGCTTTGCTTTTGTGATTGCTTTAATTTATGTTTTTTCTTTTTTTTCTTTAAGGGTTTAGACCATTTATAAGTCAGCGTATTTGCGAAAAGTTTTACTGTTGCATGATTGCATGCGGGGGAGATATGTTATTAAAATTTCTGAAATAACTAATTATCAAGCTTTAAGCTTTTCCATTCTTTATTGAGCTGTTGTGAAGTGAATTCTGTGCTCTGCATAGCATGTGACGCTGGGTAAGTTGAAGACTGCTAAAGGGCCGTTTTGGTTGTCTTATGGAAATGCGTGTTTTTTTTCTTTTTCATGGCAGTTCCTACCACATTTTTTTAAACTTGGTCCAGTTCTTCGCCTCGCTTTTTTATGTTTGTTGTGCTAGCGGGTGTTTGTTGACGGTTGTGGTGGATGTCTTTGGACTTTATTTTCACATTTGCCGTGTAACAAGAGGTGTTTTAGTTAATGGGATGTGGTGTGTTCTTCAGGAATGTGATTTATAAATAGTCCTATTCCAGTAATTATTAATTCTAGGACGGATATATGCGGTTTTGAGGTGCAGGTAAACTGCTGGTTTACGAGAGTAGATCAGGTTTCAGCTGCATTCTAGTGGGATTACTGGCTAGTCATTGTACTTTCGAGGAAAGGGGGAATGCGTTTGAAAGCGTTTGAAGATACCGGAGACTTAAGCTGTATAAGCAAGTGACCGTTTCTTGGCGGACTAGGGTTGTTTCACCATGAAGCATGTACCAGGTGGAGAAAAGTAGTTCTTTCGCAAATGAAGTATTTTCTTTGAATTACTGCAAAACGTAGTTGTCGACTTCCGGCACCCAGTACTTGTTTGGTTCGTATGGGTGAGCGGGTAGTTGGTGTGGTTTAATTCGCTAAATTTATGTCGTGTTCTGACCAGAGCGGGAAACGGCAGAATACTGAACCTGGGTAGACTTAAGGCGAGTGACGAGAGTAGGGATTAGGCGTTGCGGAAGGAAATATTTCTTTTGAGAGCTAAGCGCATTTGCTCTACTGCAAGGCACGGCGGTAAGTTTGGTCAATATTTTAAATAGTCCTTTTGACCAACGGCCCTTCTAAACTCCTTTTTTTTGTGAAATTTTTTCCTTATCTCATGACTGAATCTGTTTGGGTGTTGTTTTAACTTAGACTTACTATAGCTGACTTCTAAACACTGTGTTGGGGAAGAAAAATATATGACTAGCTATATCATTTTTACCAATAAATTTTATGCTGGCAGTATTTGCTCACCCATGCTTCCAATAGTTTTTCTATTTAAAATTCACTCGTCGATGACTGGATCAGTAAAGGCTGGTGTTGCGTGATTTGATTTGTTGGAGCGTAAAGTACTCACTAAAAATGTCACACTTAAAAACATTACAATCTAGTTTAAAATAACCGATATATTGCCAGATGCGACGTCACTGACCACGACTCATTCAGTGGCTCCTGCGCCTTTGGTAATGAAGTTAACTGCAGTTATTAGTTAAAAACTTTATTTACAGTCCATATGAGTGACAGATCCTGAATTAAGGTTAAATCGCACGTCATCTGGGGCTACCTGCTTGCCACAGGCGTAGCAGATTGTTTGTTCATCAATAGTTACGGACTTTAAGGATTTCTCAGCCAGTTTTTGAGAGAGCTGTCTCGTAGTAACAGACAGTACCTGAAAATGTTAGAAGGAAGTAACTCACGGTTTGGCTTTACAGTCGAGTGAAATATAACTATTAGAGACCAAATTATGCTGTTATTTTGAATATTTACCGCATCTTTCAAACGGCTTTGTTTGAGACGACGTTCCATGCTGAGAACCAACTTCCCCGTAAAAGTGGCCAAGTCTTCGACTAACCAGTCGTCAGGAACTTCATGGAGAATTTCAATGAGGTCATCTGTTGAAGATGGGCTCATTGCATTTAGTAGACTCCTAATTCGTGACTTGAATTCTGGTTGCTCGCTAGAAGGGTTAGGACATAGCTAGAGCTTTTGTGTAGATAAAAACTTTAGTTCTACCTGGCTGCACGAATGTAAAATTTGAGAAGTATGCGATAGAGATTTAAACACTCTCCACCAAAATGAGTACAAAGGGTTTCTGCAGCATCATAATCTTTGTAATTCGCCATAAGCTCTTCCAAACACTTTTCTCTATCAGGGACCTGCAACCACTACTCTTCCTGAGACAGCTTTATACAGATGGAATCCAACTTAAATGTAAAACGGCCAATGTCAAGTTGACATCTAGAAGTGAAGGGACATAAAGATCTGTAAAATTACGAACTAAAAGTGTCAGAATCTGCTTGAAAAAAATATAGACTTTTTTCATGAACCCCATTACATACCTTCTTAGCCTTAATAAAAAGGGTCTCCACGTTTAAGGAACGGTGTTTCTGTAGCTCTTCTAGTATTGCTGACTCGTTATAGACGTTAGACTGTAAGAGAATTGTGCGCAGACGATTACGTTTTAAATCCTGTCCGGTAGCGACATCAGGCGAAGCTGAGGTTAAATCACGGATATATAGTTTTATCAATTTTTCATTCAACTCTTTTTCCTGAAAAAATCAATAAGTGCTTCCAGATTATGAACAAATAAAGTTCTCCAGAAAGTCTACGGTTGAAAAATAACACTTCTTGTACAGTCAAGGAACAAACTAAGAATATGTTCAACAAAAGAACTTTACAGTCAAGACTTTCTCATTTATATCCTCACTTCTAACGGTAGCCATTTTTCAAGAAAGGAAATGAGATTTGAAGAGTCGTTCTCAAGGTAAGACACTATTTGATGACGAAACTGTTTCAAAACAGCTTGAGATCCATACTGTAGCACTGTTCTGGGGCTGAGTTTTATAAGGAATTTTAGAGTATCCAAAAGCAGCTCTTCCTTCGGAATCCTCAAAGAAAATGAAACAAAGCCGTACAAAAACTCTCAAATACCTCTTTAAAACTTTTCATTGCCACGGCTAAATAGGCATTGATATTTTCCAAGCTTCGAGTACAAAAAATACATCCATCTCATAGTTACAACAAAAAATTAAAGGCTGGAAACTTTTATGGAACTGCAATACAGCAGACGACCTAATTTATTTTAAAAAGAGAATTGTAATCTTTATTCCTGACGGGGAGAAATAAAACAGAGTAATAAAATAACAGAAAAATTACAGTGTAGTTACTTTTCAATGTTTTCTATATAATACTGTAGTAGCGGTTCGTCAATACGGCCCTGAATTAATGCTTTCTTCGCCATCTTGAGAGCTTCTTCAAACTCTTCAACAGTAATTGCAAGTAATAAACAATAATCGAATAAACCATTTTCAGTCAACCAAGCTTTTCCGTCCTCAAAGGAACATCTAAGTTCTTTGAAACCGCCAAAATCATAACTTCTGCCTTGTAATGCCATTACGCGGAACAAAATCGCGTCAATATCCTCAATTAACCATCGCTTTACATTCATAACAAATAAAGGATTTGAAGCCGCATAAGGGTTTAAACAAGAACTCTTTTTTAAGAGGCATGGAGCTACTACTGTTAATGTTTGAGAAATTTTCAAGAAACTGCTTACTCTAATAACGTCTTTTTTCCAGTCGCAATTTCTAACATCGCTTAGGTACTGTTCCAGAAAGCTCAGGTGTTCCTGCTCTAGGGGTAAATCATTCACAGCGCGCGGTTCTGGGGAGGGAACCGCGAAACCAGAAGGCAAAGGCATTAATCTTTTATAATATATGATACACTACAACAGATATTAAAGAC